TCCAAAAACATTTCACCACACCAGGTCCGGTTGTTTCTCTGACTAAAGTACTCAGTTTAAAAAAGTGTGTCATGTTCACTTTTTAGAGTTGTGGGAGGTAAGATTAGACAGATAAGACTTCAATCCCTGCATGAGAAATAACCAATGCCAGCGTCGGAAACAGGGCACAGATGGATGTTTGTCTCCCTTGACACAAATAAAGCCGGTCTACATTTAGTCCAACTGGTGAATACATCTGTGGTATTAAATTGGCCAGAAATCAGAACGCAATTTGTGAAGAAAAAAGAAAAATGTATTGATAATCTGGGTAGATAGTTAGCAACAGAAATTTTGAAACACATTTAGAGGAAATTATTTAACTAATTTAAAGGACATCTATTTTTACAACTGTTTCTTTTTTAATTCTGCTCTTGTTATTATTTTATATGTCCAAAATGTGAGAAATAGCCAAAAGATGTAAATGTGGAAAAATAGAACACATCCAAAAGTTGATGTCAAGAAATTATATCTTTGATACCTAAGACAAAAAGTAATAGTTTGCCATTTTTATATGAACTCATAGAACAAGAAACATATGTGATGATTTATTAGTCAGGAGAGCAGTAGCATGGAGACCTACCAAGCCGGGATCCTACCCAGAAATAAAAAAGCTCTCTGTGACAACCTTAGTTTACTATTAATTTACAACAGAAACTCCAACTTATTCAGGCATCACAGCAAGACATTGCAATTCTGAGTTTCCAAAGATGCCATTGTTGCCAGTGGGCATCAGTGATCCTGTTTTAGCAGCTTTACCATTAGTATAGTCTACATTATGCTACCCTAACACTAGTCAAACATTTGTCTGTGTTACTGAAACATTGTACTTGTGTGGGATTAACTATAGCACTGTAATGTCAATCTCAAAACATTATTCCCACTCAATCTACAATTTATTTTTTCATCATTTGGCCCTAAAATGTTTGCTGTTCAAGTTGTGTTTGGAAGGGAACTTCAAATGCTGATGAACAAGCCAATTGGCACAGACAGTTACTCTCGGTGTACTTCACAGGAGGAAATGTTTAGGAAATCAAACAGATTTATTCAAGATCTGCAGTCATCTGGAGACTTTTTCTAGGACAAACAGAAAAAACAAAAAAAATGCACTTACCTCAGATTCTATATGCTTGCCAACTAGTCATGTAGTCATGCTGCTAACTCAAGCTATCTGTGCTAACTGATAGCTTGAGCCGCGTTTTTCTTTTCCCTCGGCTTTGACAAGTTCTCTTGTTTAACAATCCTGCAGCAAATAATCTTTACAGTGGAGTGCTTGTTTTTATAGAGTGAGGAGAAACTAAATATTGCTGTATATGTTGTACAAATATCTTCCAAATATCTTTTGACTTTTTGCACGGGAGTTGCAATAGAAATTTCGTTGAATCCTGTTCAATGACAATAAATGCTATTCTATTCTATTCCAAATAAGAATGTTACACATTGCAATGTCAAAAACAGTCCAGATAAAGCCAAGACGTCATGGTATAGGGAACAAAAGACATTGTCCAACAAATCACATCCAAAAATTACAAAGCAGAAAAAGTGGCAGCGATTCATATTTTGAAGAGTTGAATAGGTTTAGACATAATATTTCCCTTACTTCATTCTCTTAAAAATTAACTACAGAAGTTACTGAATTTATGCAGTAATTTACTCATTTACGCTGGGGAGTGATTCCACATGCTGGCTCAGAAATGACTCTGTGTTGGGATACCAGCTCAGGGCATATTGCAGTGCAGTTGAAAATGAGCGATTACTGGCTATAACGGGAAGGCTAAAGTCAATAACGTGGAGGCAGGAACAATGTGTGCTATAGTAGCACAGTCATTCCTGCTCCCTCTTGTGTCTAAACCTACTTTACTTTGACACTTTTTCAGTCGCTGCCTTCAGTCTGTGCTTGGTTCAAAGAGCAGAAGGTGGTTTGGTTCAGGTATCAATGATTAAATGGACGGGATTATGAAAACATTCTCAGGTTCAAAACACAAACACAGTGTCTACTGTAGGAAGTGCTTTTTGCTTTTTTGCAAATTGTAAATCTACTAAAGCATTATTATTTTGTTTTTTCTGCTCATCAGTTTATTAACCAATTTGCATTCTCATGAAACAAAATTGAAAATAACAAATTATTGCACAATTTGTTGTACAGATTTGCCAATTCACCTATTCACAGATTTTTCTGTGGAACGTAACTGGAAATATAAGGGCATATTTAGCATTTGTACCACTAAAATAGACGGTTATAATTCAAATGCTTTTACAAGTTTAATTTCTGCTTCATTTTAACTTCAATCAAAGTTATAATGTTTCATCTCGTGGCCCTTAAAATGGTTGCCTCTTTCTGATTCGGATATTCGGAAATATTAGCACAGTTCTGGAAAAATTACGCTGCCATCCTGACATCCCAGCAGGATGTGCCATTAGCAACATAACAGAATTGATATCCACCTCTAATTATCATCATTAAGCCAGCATATAGCTCTTCCGTCCCAGTGGAGGGAGGCTGATGAGGCATTATGTATCAAGCAGCTGTTTCACTGTTAATATATTTTTAAAATCCCTTTTTGGAAATAAACACAGTTAATGTTGGGAACATTTTTTTACATAGTCTTTCTGCCTGCATTTTGCACTATTAAACAGTAAGACTACAAGGAGATCTGATCTGGTGTTAGGTGCCTCCGTGGGTAGGTGCCTCCGTGGGCCGCGTTTTTTTTTTTTTTTTTTTTTAAATCAGCGCCTTATTTTTTTGTAATTTAATTAACATGTTTCCTATTCGAGCATGCGTTGTTCTCCCTGACTCCTCATCTTTTAGCCTGTCTTCTGCTGCAGCCGCCCTCTAATCAGTACCTCTGTTTCCTGTTTCTTTCTCACACCCCCGTTACATTTGATCTGCCTCATATGCCGTGAATCAAAGCTCCCCTGACAGCCAGTTCATAGGTGCGTCGACCCCTTTTGTTGTTTTGTTGTGTTGTGAGATCGAACAGCTCCACTGAAATGCAATCTCTATGACAACAAGAAGCTCTAGGACAGTACAGCCGGAGGTGGAGTTAACACTGAAGGAGTCTTCAGGTTGCGAGGAACTGATATTTTGTCCAATCACTATGATTTCATTTTGAAACATTTTAGGAAGGGCAAACATTTAAACACATTTACTCAGTGTGGGGAAAAAATTTACATTCAAATTTATGTTTTTATATCTACAGTATAAAATCACTGCCCCATTGATATCCCTCATTATTGTTCATTCGTTCATCCAAATTCATGTATCCTTTCTGATGCTCTCTTCTCTCTCAAAGGTTGTTTATAGGAAGGTTTGTTTATATCATTTACATAGGGGGGGATTAAGATAGCCATGGAAGAAAGTTGAATTGGTGTCTAATAAATTACTTCTGTGTTTATCTGATTATATATTTTGGTTCATTGGAGAATGTACATCACATAAATATTATCGTTGTGCCAAAAGACCCACCGAGGACCAGTTTTCTGTTTTCTAACACACTACACTCCATTTTTATTTTCAATACAGTTCTTTGAGCAAGAAGCCCATTCTTACTCAATCCTTCACCATATGTGCTGTATATAACAATGGGAATGAAGTGAGGTTTTAAATAATCCAATATTTTTGTCCCATACCAAACCTGTCGTCATAAAATGTAGTCCTACTTTCATACAGCTCTTAGTAGCATTTAGCAAAATGTACATGTTTCTGTTTTAAAGGTAGAGAGAGGCCGGACCACTTGTTTTAAACTTTTTAATCATTGCTCTGACTGTAGATGTGACCCACTTTGGACAGCTAGCTGTTTTTGTTTTGCTACTTCCTAATTACAAATATGAAAATAGATCTGCCCTTATTGGTCGTTTACAGCATGCCTTGTAAATAAAGGCATTTTGAAGTAGCAGAACTGCTGCCTTGCATTAGGTAGATTCTGGATTAAATTTCCAGCAGGTGCTTTTTGCATGACTTTGATAAAACTGGGTTTCTTTTTTTAATGAGTTACTCAATCTTCTTCTTATAGACCAAAATATGCATGATAGATGAATTTATAGGCATTTTTACCCCATTCAACACATGTACTCCAATTAAAGATTGAATTTGTCTGTAAGATCATTTCTAAAAGATTTTTTTTGCATCTTTACAAGAAAGGCTGATAAGTGTGGAAGGCATCGACCTGATGCTTTGACTAAACCATTTGAATTCATAGCCCAAATTCATATATCCTTTCTCATACTCTTTTCTCTCTCAAAGGTTGTTTATAGGAAGGTTGATTTTCAGATTTGAAGTACTGTGAGTGGAATTGCTGTTGTTTATTCAAGAACATCTAATATTTCTTTATTGCTGCACTGTGCAACCACAATCCAGTGAAAACTGTGCTGCCAAAATTTATTGCCCTCACCACTTTCTCAGCGGATCTGCATCTGCCAGTTGGTGTTTTCTTCTGGATATTTGCTCGCACCTGTGAACTCATCTGAGATGCCCGTCGCTGGATGTTTTGGCTGTGAGCGCTGACCTGTGTCAAGACAGCGCAACAGTGACAAACAGGACCCCACAGCATGGACATCTCCTCGCATCATTAACCACCATCCATCTCTGGCACCCCCGATTCTGAGCACCGCTTTCCCATCAATAAAACGCTTCAACTCCTGTGGGAGCAATCGGATTTTTCATGTGCAAGCAGCTCTTCTTGAGACCTTCATTTTTCTTTTTCTTTTTTTTTTTACGTCTTCATCTCTGGTGTTTTCTTCCCTGTTCTGCTTCCCTCTACCTCTGTAAACACGATTTTCTGCAGCCTAATCAGATTTATGATGTTTTCTGCCGACTTCACAGTCTCAAGTTTGCTGATTTTTCTCATTTTGAGTGTCTGAAAAGCTTTCATTTTCCACAGAGGACTATATGTTTAATAACTAGGACACGGGTTTTAAGAGTAATTAATATCTTTGATTTTTTTTTTTTTTTTTTTTTGCTGCAGATAAAGCAGATGATGAGCTTGAGATGACCATGGTGTGTCACAGGCCAGAGGGTCTTGACCAACTGGAAGCCCAAACAAACTTCTCCAAGCAGGAGCTGCAGATCCTCTATCGCGGCTTTAAGAATGTATTTGCACACATCAGATCACCTTCCTTTGCTACATAATGTATCCTTCCAGAAAAACTCCAACTGACATTATCATTAAATATTATTCTTCCCCAAAGGAATGTCCCAGTGGAGTCGTAAATGAGGAGACCTTCAAGCACATTTATGCACAGTTTTTCCCTCATGGAGGTAAAAAGTTGTTGACACTGCTTTTGTTTTTTTTTTTCATTTTTTTGTTTTTTCCATTTCACTTTTTTTTTCGTGTTGCTTTTTATGTACTGTATGCTTAAACATTGATATTGTTGTTGTTTTTGCAGATGCAAGCATGTACGCACATTATCTTTTCAACGCTTTTGACACAACAAACAATGGCTCCATCAAATTTAAGGTAAAACTACAACTGAAAGCAGGAGCAGGAAATTATAATAAAGGGTAATGTCCTTTTCAACAACTCCATCAATGCACATGTCCATCCAGACACATTTCCTTCCCTATACGGTACTGGTTTAATGACTGGGTTTATATGTCAAGAACAAACTCAGAACTAACAGTTTTCCTGTTAGTATTCAGACTGAACATATTAAAAATATTAACAAAATGCTCAATACAGTTGGAGGTACATATGCAGAACAGTTCAAGAGGACGCATTTGGGATTATATGTTCATTATAACCAAATTAAAAGTTTCTCATGATGTTGAGAAGTAATTTATAAGAAATGCCTTTCTTCTGTTTTTCCCCAATTCCTTGTATACAATCTGTACTGCCCCTCTTAATAGACTTTGGTTTACTTGAATTTCAAGCAGAGAGTATGCCGTACAGCTACGTTGGCAAAATTTCACCCAAAACAAGATACAGAAATTATCTTTATCAAATAATAATAATATTAGATATTATATAATAATAATAATAATAATAATAATAATAATAATAATAATAATAATAATAATAATAATAATAATAATAATAATAAAAATCCTGAATTACCCTGAAGTTTTGAGACTTTCCGAAATGACATATATGAGATAAACTTCTCAAAATTATAGTGCCCTCTAGTGGTTCATGTTTATCAAACTAGACAGCCTCTTCTTATGAGTTTGTAACATAGGGTGTGAATTTAATCTGTTCTTTCATAATTCTGAGACTGAGATACGTCGCTAACCTTTTTAGCTCGCTTGCAATTAAACTTTTTTCACTTATTTTTTAATCACAACATGCAAATCTTTCAGTCATTTGTGATTGGTTAAAGGAAATTTAGTTTGATGGTTTTACTTTTTCTTAAATGTGGCAACATTATGAAGAAAAGACAACCTGTCAGGAAAATCAACCAAATATTGATTTACATCGAGAGCTTTTGTAGAGATAATTGTGTTCCAAAAAATACTACTGCTTTGCTACTTACTTCACCTCTGTAGCCTTAGGCACCCTTCAAAACTGGTATAAAAAAAAAAATCACATTTTTGTTCATTCTTGCTCTTTTCGCTTGTCCTGCTGGCAGGACTTTGTGGTGGGCTTATCCATTCTGCTGAGAGGAACCCTGAGGGAAAAGCTGGAGTGGACGTTTCATCTTTATGACATCAACAGAGACGGATATATAAACAGAGAGGTGAGACCTCTCAACTTGAGCATTGTGGCTATTTTATAATTTAAAATGTTTCTCTCAACGCGGCTTGAATTGTGTTCACTCAGGAAATGACGGAGATTGTAAGAGCAATTTACGACATGATGGGCAAGTACACCTACCCTGCTTTAAAGGGAGACGTCCCACAGCAGCATGTGGATGCCTTTTTTCAGGTTTGTTTCCAACATCCATCAACAACATAGAAGAGGCAAGTTGTTGTTAACATAGAAGAGGCAAGTTGTTGTTAGACTGACTGAACAAGGCAAGACTTTTAGCTAAAACTGACTCTTTCACAATAAAAAAAAACAATAAAAAAACTGTTTTAATAACCTTCCTCTTGCCAAAACTTGCTATTGAATGACTGAAATAAATAGCTCATTTTGACATCTCTGGAGGAGCTAATGATAGATAAATCAGTTTGTTTAAACTGCATAAGAACATCTTTTCTAGCACTGAATATGATACAAATCAGAGGAAAATGAACAAAGACCAAGTTCAACATGAGTCTCTATGCTAAAAAAGAAAAAAAGCCTGTCAGCCTGACATAGACATGAGAAAAGAAATTTGTGGACGTCCAGTGTTCTAGAGGGAGAAACTGGAGTCATAAACCTATTTTTAAGCTGCTTATTCAACAAGGCTTCTGGAAGAGATCTTTGCAGTGCTTGACAGCAGTCTGGAACCCCCTGCACACAGCTCTCTATCTGTTGCTTAGTATTTGCATTTTGTTGTAGTTCTTTACACCATTTTACGTCAGCAAACTTCAATGTAACCTTGAATTACCACTAATTACCCTTTTTTTCCCTTCAGAAGATGGATAAGAACAAAGACGGAGTGGTGACTATGGAAGAGTTTATTATTGCCTGCCAAGAGGTATGCATTTTCCAACAGTAAATGTCCTTTCTTTTTAACATTTATTTTATTTTATTTTTTACATTAGACATTACTGTGCTTAAAGAAAAAATTGCTGTGGAAAAATTTAAATAAGCATCTTAATGTAAGGATAACTTCTATAAGACCCCACACCAGGATCTCTTTGATGTAGAGGTTTACAATAAAATCAATCCAGACTGTTATCCAAGACCGACCTAACCGTCGCTTAAGTGGCCTTACTTTGTCATATATTTGCAAATGTTTTCCTATCAGTTACTCAACACACAGTAGTCATCTACTCTATTTCCTGAAGCAGTGCTGATGGTAAAAGTCATCTATCCACCTTCTATCTCCCATCAGGATGAAAACATGATGAGATCCATGCAGCTGTTTGAAAACGTGATGTAGGACGGCTTGAAACGAAGAAGACAGGAGCATGGCAAACCAGAGGGCTTTGTGCGTGTGTGTGTGTATGTGTGTTTGCGTGCACATGTGCCGTACATCCAGTCTATCCTCCTGTTTCTGCTCTCGCCAGCTGAGCTCTGGATACAGCCAGAGCTTCCTGTGATGACACTAATGAGGGGACTGGAGTGGAATGCCCTCAGCCTTCCTGCCACGTTTGGCCACACAGCAAAGTGATTAATGTGACAGGCATTGAGCTCCGTCTAACAGATTGGCCGTTTATAGATAAAGACGCTCTGACATTGAAAGGATGCTTTGACCTTTGAAGAAACATGCCTTCCAGAGGTGGACCTACTTTTCTTTTCTTGCCATGTGTCGTTTGCTTTTTTTCTATCCAGACTCCCTTGCATGTGTTTAATGGGGAAAAAATGTCTTATAAGTCAAATTGTTTTCTGAAAAGTTTGCTATAAGTACATCTGCATTAATTGACTCATACATCCAGTGGCTGGAAGGATTCAAAAATGTAATTTCCGAGTCTCTGGATTTTAGTGATGCTTCTACATTCGTGTCGACTTGGCTGCTGCTCAGACCTCTCTGTCTTTTGCTTGTTGTTGTTCTGTGAAACGCCTGCATTAGAGAATTCAAACGATTAAGGTTGTAAATTATATAGACCTTAGATGATGTCTCAGTTGCCTGTCTTTTGTATTTTGTAAGACTTCATGTTGTCAAAAAAGTCAAATGTGTATGATTTTAATTGATAGCATTTTTATGAGGTGAAGTCAAAGCAAAGCAAAGAAATATATATAATTTCCAGGGATTATATTATTTAAGCAATAGTTTGGAATTTTAAAAGTTAAGTTGTGATAAAATAGTCATGTGCTCTTAATATTTCAGCTGCTGCATATCACTCTTTTAACACTTTTATCAAAAGAGTTGGTAGTAGTATATTCCCCAAGGCTAAAGCTAATGGCTAGTCCTATATCCTTCTACATACTCCAGTTTTCATAAATATCATAGTGAGAATTATTTTAATCCTTGTCGCAATTGAACCAATACAAGAATTATTTACCAAAGAAACATAAGTAGCCTAGGTAGTGGTGTATTGCCAACAATCCTCATGATCATAGCATGTACTTCTGAAAAAACTTGTTTTTCTGGCCAGAGCCATGAGCTTTAAACTGCCTGCAGTTTAATACTGACTAGAAATCTTTACAAAGGTCCTTTTGCTTGGACAGATTACACTGAAGATCACTGGAGCACACAGCCATCTTTCTGCATTTCTACTCTAAATGACTGCATACTTTCAGTTAAATGTCCAGGTAATATCAGAAAACATTCACAAAAAATAAGTAGCTTCACAAATCTATATTTCATAAAGAATATAGTTAGTTGGCAACTTTCTTTAATAATAATCCAGGTTGGATGGTGTTGGACCAATTGACTTTTACTTTCTTAAAGATTTGTAAAACCAAAAACATAAAAATATTTTTATCCAATCTCAAAAACTTCATAGGCCATGAGAACACAATCTCACAGATCTTTAAACCTTTGCCATGTTTGGACTGGGCTGCATTTCCCAAGAAACAGATTCTTATTTATACAGGCAAAGGAGCATGGATGCTGTACAGTACCAGTGATCCTCCTTTCCGAATCATGTATTGTGTCATGGAAATTATGTAACAACCTCTGTCCAATCAGAGTTTGGTAAAGCAGCATACAAAGCAAAAAAATTGTAGCAGTTTACGTGAAAAATGTTTGACTGATTTGAAAACAGCCTCACCTTTTTGGATTTACTCCGAGTGAAAACGCTGACGTGTTTAGCTCTCGGCATGTGTTTCACATACATCAGTGTCACGCTGCCTCCTAGCGTAGTTTAAGGCATTACAAAAATCATCTATTTAACTCTTAATACTTACTCAATAGAAATATGGCAATGTTTAGAGGTTCAGACTAGATCTGTCAGATAAACCACCATAATGTTTTGGAAATTGGAAGTGTTTAGGCTTAGGCCGTTTCGGAGTAGCTATTAGCTTCAGCCTCCTGGACCATTTTATCTGAATTTATACTTTTGAAAAGACTCCAGAAGAGGTATCTTCAACAGATCAGAGGAACAACCTTACCTCAAAACGTTTGGGCTATCTTTGTGATATTAATGCAGAGGCCAGCATTTGGGTGGCAGTGGATAGCTCATTTTGCTAAGTATAGAAGGGTGAAGGTTGTCAGAAGTCAGATGTAGTGTCAACTTTGAAATGATATGTCCTGACATAATGAACATGTCGCACTGACCAAAACAATGATTTTGCACCTAAAGTACAGACAGAACAGCACATCTATTATTGCTCTCTTTGAGTTTTCCAGTATTTGAAAGATAATAGAAAACTCACAGGCCTAAGGTATTTTAATCACTGAAATATTAACCATTTGCTTTTTTAAAGTCAGTGGAGCAGTTCTTTGGTCTGTGCATCATCTGTGTGACATCCCCTCCCCCGCTGTACAGTATCCTTTGTTGAAACAGAGTTGCTATATCAGATTAACAAAAGATTCATCTAAAGCCATAAAATAAATATTTAAGTTATTTGATTGCTGTGTTTTACTTAACTTTGCTAAATGTCATAAAATATTCAAGCTACTCACATCATTGTGTTGGACAAAGGAATATGCAACGTTCTGCATAAATGAATAAATGAAGAACACCAGACAGAGAACTCTGCATTTACAGTAACAAGGATGTGTCCGAAATAAAGCCCAGACACATTTTAGAAAGAAGACTTTCCTCTGAATATTAAATATTTATATGTCATGCATAAAAAGTAGCAGCTGATTCAGCTTGAGCTATGGCATCCTCCAGAGTTCTGAACCCCCCCACCGAAGATGTGTACAAATGCCTTAAAATAAATGGTTGTTATGGAAATTTGCCACTCGCTGCTCCAGTTCTGTAAGAGTAAGAAATTATATTACCACATTTCACACCTTCCTTGATGTCTGTGGTGGAAAGATAAACATGTGCTCTTCTTCCAGTCCCAATTTTTTCAAGCTGCTGTTTATTTCCTCACTTAAGGAGATTAGCACACATCCAGTTGACTGAGTTGTCTTCGCCACTTTGAAACATGAGTCAGAGAAATGGGTGTCTGTCAAGACATGTTTATGGCCAGAGGAAACCAATGTTGATAGGTTATTAATTAAAAATTTCTAGGAATTCTGATCAACTTTGGAAAAATTACAGAACCGATTATAAAGATGTTGGAGTTTTAATTGGCATTGCAAATAGGTACAAGCACAACTGATTGGAAGAACCATCTCATCTCTGAAGTGGTTGTCCAAATAGTCAAAATAAGACCAAACACAATAAATGCAAAATCTGCTGGAGATTGTGACACACAAAACTCCACTATATTTACACAGATTTTCATTGAGTAAATGGAATTAATATTTAAAGAATGCATTTTTGTATTTGTTGTTTAAAATGTTTTAAGACTGCACATTAGTGTTAAAAATATAAAAGTATAATTAAATTATAATGCGTTGTCCATCGATCCATCTATCCATCCATCCATCCCCCATCCATCCATCCATCCATCCATCATCCATCCATCCATCCAAACATTTTCTAACACCCTTGGATAGGCTCCAGTCTGTCGCAGTATAATGCGTTGCTTAAAGGTATATTAGAAAGCAACAGCAGTGTAAAGGTAAATAAAAGCCAGTCGAGAGCAGTAGATTAATATAAAGCAGCCCATCCACCCGTTTTAAAAGCGCCGAAGAAACTAATATTACTGTTATCCTGTGGGGGGCAGTGTTGCAGTTTTGTTTTTCATACAACGAAGAAGAAGAGGAAGACCAAGCAGAAGAAGAAGAAGAAGAAAGGGAAGAACCCACGTTTATCAAAGCCTCACATTACATTTGCAGCGAAGGCAGGCAGCAGGTTCCCTCCATCCGAGAAAATGAAAGGACTAAACAACGAGCCAATGGCACCACAGACGTTTCTTTATGGTGAGATAATGTTTTTAAACCCAGACTTTGTAATTTTTTGTTGATTGATGCAACTATTAAAGAGATAGTTCTTGCATTCAGGCCAATGTTGAAGTCACACGCGCTCCTCTGGGATTTAAATTGAATCTGTTTAGTGACAAAGAGTGATATTTAAAACATCAAGACCTTTTGAAGGTGACGTTTTTACAGCAATAAAACAAAGAGTTGTTCGAGTCCTGGTGGGGAAAAAAAAACGAGACTCGGATCCAGTTTTCTGCACACGTGCTTTTCGCAGTCAATATGGCGGCGCCCGTGTTTTAGCAAACCGTTTTAAATTTTAACTATGTTCAGCCTATAACTCGCGAACCAGTTCACTCGGTCAAAACTCACTCGACATCATCCGTGCGTGCTCACTTAAAGCTATTGGGTAAATTGTCATCGTTTTCTGTAATGAAGGTTAAAACCGTCTCAACGTGTCTGCGGACACGCGCACTGCTGACCGCAGTGCAGATTGAACAAGCCGCAGATCAGAAATAACCAGATTCCACCTGGTTACCTCCGATCTGTTCCGGAGGCTTTACTCTCAATTCAAGTTCCAAAGTTTGATTCAACGAAGTTCTGATTTTTAAGAATTTTAAATATTAACTTTTTTTAAAAAAAAATATGTTCATTATTGGTTTGAGGATAGTGAATTATTTTGTATTTGGAATTAGTCTTAAGTGTATTTTAAACTAATTGATTGCTAAGTTGTTATAGTGATATTTTAACCAGGAGAAAGTCATTTTGGATCATTTCCTGCACGTGCTTCATCTTCACAAGTAATCTTTTTTTTTTTTTTGGACTCCAGAGCGCCCTCCTGTGTCAATTTTCAAAACTTCATCTAAAACACAAATCATTTCTTTGGAAAATTGCAAGACTTGTATTTTGATTCAGTTTTTTCTTTACTTTATGATTATGTTTTATCAGGGTGTATTCTGGAAGCTGGCAAGGAGGTGGTCTTCCATCCTGATGACGACGAGTTGGAGCATCAACTAGATCTGAGGATGGTGAGTCCAATAAGTCCCTGAGACGTGAAAAGAGAAAAATAAAGAATCAGAACAGACGGAACATTATAGTGCTTTTTTTTCTTAGTTAATTTCTTCTATTTAATTAAATATTACAGACTTGTATACAAGTTCAGTTATAATATTTCTCAGGATGATAATAACTGGCTCTAAATGAATTAATGTCTGTAAACACTCTGCTCACTTTGGGAAAAGTAGAGAAGATGTTTCCTCTGCAACTACAGTTCAGTGGCAATCAGACATGCAGTCTGTAGCTCCTTTGCTGGCAGCACCCAGATAGTGAACTCTATTGATTATTACAAGGTCACAGAATGGCAGACTAGGCAAATGGGACATAAAGCCCTATTAAATACAATAAGATTGAACTGGAAATGAACAAAAAAAAGTCTCAGTTCAAAGAGAGACCAATTTCAAAACAACAAAAAAATGGTTGACAGCCTAACTTCAAATGTAATCATGAAAAAGTATCACTTGTATTCATTAACTGCATGCATTGTGATTGTGTAAGGTTCAGAGCTTGACATTATCTACAATTAAGCAATGTTGAGGTCAGCAGCACCAGTGTAAGGCAGTTTTGTATGTCAAACGTTTAGATGCTATCCATTTCCAGCGCCTCTGAATGGTTTATTAGCAGGCTCCTGTATCACCTGATGACATGTTGAGGATGTATCAAGAATTTTACTTCTCGCTTGACGAAAAACTCATCTGAAGCACGCAGGATGCCCGTTTTATAAGGGTTGAATGTTGCTGGTTTAAGCTTTTCTATAAACGTGTTATCTGGGAGAACATGTAGCAGTCTAACTTCCGCAGCTTAAAACAACTTGGTGACTTATTTTCCTACCCTCGGTATCTTCTGTGTGTTGTTTCATTAACAGCTCATCATGCATGATAAAGGTGGTGCACTGGATGGCAACCAAACCCTATCAGTCAATGCCAACTTGAAGTACTTTTATGTCGCTGACAAACTTTATCATCCATCTCCTTACACAGCAGTCTCTCTTTATCTGCCATTTTTGGTTGGAATCTATAGTATTACAGTAGGTGTCACCAGTTGAGCTTTTGAAACTGGAGGAAGCTTCTGCAAACATCTGAGCTGAAAGTCACAATAAAGGAATAAAGTTGTTTTTTTTTTTTTTTTAAATCTGCCCACTGTTCTTACTCCTGCAGGCATGTGTGGACCCCAGTTCCAAGGATGAACTCCACTTGGTGGAGGTTGAAGGACAAGATTCAGAGGGTCAGATGGTCAAGGCAGCACTAGTTTCGCTGAAGCCGTCCACCCTGCCCAGCGTAAGTCCACATTTACTTTGTCTATAATGCTATATTTACCAAATGTTAGATTTTATGTGTGGCTGTTGGTTGATGTTGTTCTTCTTCAGGTGTGTCTTGGCGGGTTCACAGTCACACCCCCAACAGTGTTTCGTCTGAAGACCGGTTCCGGTCCAGTTCACCTCAGTGGACAACACCTCATCAGTGAGTATTTGTTGTAAAATAAGCCAAATGTTGACATTATTCCAGTAATTACAGCTGGCTCATGTTAAACTTCTGAATACGTTCCCCAAAAGTGATGGAGAATGACCAGTCTTTTGATGAAGATGATGATGAAGATGAAGAGGAGGAAGAGGATGAAGCATTTCCAGTGTCCAGGAAAAGATCCATGCAATTACCTGTTGCTAAGTCTCAGGTTTGTCTCTGTCATTTAACAAACCTCACCAGGTTCCATGTAGAAAGACGTCTGTGTGAACGAAACCTGATCTGATCTCTACAGAAAAAACAAAAAATGGAAGCAGGGGATGACGAGGACGATGAGGAGGACGATGAGTGAGTATCAAGATTTATTTAATTTTATTTTTTAATAGAATGCAATAATTTGATATTCTTAGAATTGACTTCAGAAATATGTATTTTTTTTTTAAATGGCACAAATATCTGGGTTAAGAGTTCAAATTGTATCACCTCAGAACATAATGCTGCTCTGAGGTGAAGCTTTACTACTGAGGTTCCCCACCTCCAAGGATGAACTCCAATTGTTGGAGGTGGAAGGACAGGATTCAGAGGGTCAGAAAGTCAAGGTACCATCTGTTAAAAGGGGAAATCCACTTTCAGAATCAGTCTCGTTTCCATACAGCAGTGCTTCTCTATTCCCGTCCTCAAGCCCCCCTGCTCTGCATGTTTTAGATGTGCCTCTATTCCAGAACAGCTGAACCAAATGATTGCAAGTTTCAAGTACTGCAGAAGCTTATTAATCACCCATTATTCAGTCCAGGTGTGTGGCAGAAAGGAAACGCCTAAAACATGCAGGCAGAGGGACGTGAGGACCAGAATTGAGAAAAATTGACGTATAGTAATATGTTTTGCTCTCTAAACGTCCCCTGCAGTCCATTTGCTGGATAACTTTAAATGTCGTTGTTCCTGTGACAATGACAATAACATTTATATTATAAAAAAATCCACTGTAACCTTCTACACACCTTTTAAGGTTGCTTTATTTTTATTTATTTGTTGGTTGTCTAGAAGTTTATGGTTGACCCTTTTTGCTTCCTAGTAGGAAATGACATGTTTTGTTCTGATTAAGTTTGAGTGGGCTGGTTTTGTCTTTGAATTCTTATTTTGATCTAATCAAAAGATTTAAATGAGAATAAAGATTCAAATCCTTTCTCAATGCTACACATTACCATTACATTTGTAAGCATATTCAGTCCTAAAGTACTGTAATTTCTTTAAGAGCAGTATAGATGTTTTTACTGTTTTAATTTAGCCATTACAGTCATGACATTTTTATCTCTGCGTCAAGAATGCAGTTGCACTTCAACTAATAAGATTTTCCTTTTTTTTTTTTTTTCTTCCCCAAGGGATGATGAAGAGGACGACGAGGAGGATGAAGAGAGTGAAACTGAGGAATCACCAGTGAAGGTGAGCAAACATTCAGACGTTTTGTGTATTAAAATATTTTGTGTGTGTGTGTGTGTGTGTGTGTGCTCTTTCTTATGGCTATATCTTCATCACAGGCCAAACAAACCCAACCCAAAGCAACTGTGGCCAAACAAAAGGGCCCGGCTCAAAATGGCAAGAACTCTGCTCAGAGCACACCTGCCCCGAAGCAGGTCAGATGCTTTTCACAATCACTGCTTCTGTGAAGTGTTTCTGGAGTCTTCCAAATCATTGATGAATTCCTGAAAGCTCAGGGCCAATTTAAGTTGACCTTTGTTTACTTTAGAAGGGCCCCAAGGGGAAAGCCGAGAAGTCACCGAAAACTCAGGCAACTCCCAAAGTGAATTTAACCCTTCCTCAGCTGAAAACTAAGCTGATGGAGGCAATGAAGAAGGTTGGTGTACTTACACATACTTCCTAAACCTGCCTAATTTATTGCCCATTATTGATTTTGGTGTGATGACTGAAGAATTTTGTCTTTTCTAGGGTATCACGTTACCTAAAGTGCAGCCCAAGTTTGAGAACTTTGTGAAGCACTCCAACAAAGTGTCTGACCCCCAGGTAAAACAGCCACTTTTTTATAAAAAGCAATCAGTTTACAGAATGGCTTGTATGCTATATGATTGGTAGAAACGTTACAAAAACAACCCAAGAATGTTTCTAATTTTTTATATGTCATGCATGTTTTTTTTGGGGGAGTGTTTGCCACAAGAGGGCACTATTGCCACATATTTAAATTTTCAACATTTTAGCTCAGTAGAACTGAATCCACATAGCTCCAATAATCAATTTTCCCCTGAGACTGTTTTCATTGTTTCTCTATGAGTGTGACATGTTGTTTTGTTTCTCTTTAGATCATTGCAGATCTGTGGAAGTGGAGACAGACTCTGAAGGACGAAAAGTAGTTGACTCTGTAGTTTTTACCAATTTTATGACCTGTTCATCCCCATAACCTCTCATATTCTCAAAGTCTAAGTCTGTGCCTCAGTTTTCCTTGGAATCACTCTGCCTTCCTGAATGTAGAGGTTGAGTATTAACATCGCCCTCTACTTTAGACAAACTGAAGCCTGTTCAAAGATTACTGGAGATGAACGTTTCTGGACTGTTAGGATGTGAGTGTTTCAGGCATTTGTTTTTGCTTATATCTGGTTCAAATTGAATTGTTCTCTTAGGTGTAAAAAGCATCACATCATACAAAATACATACCTTGTCAAATGACTGTTTAAATAATCTACCCTTTTATTCCTGAAAGTTGACACTACCATGATCAACGTATTCAGAACTTGTTACGTTTAACCGTCCAGTTAATTTTTTTGTTTTGTTTTGTTTTTTCCCCTCCATGACTAACAAGTGGGATAAAATGCATTTCAAGTTTGTCAAGTTGTTAAAACTTGACAGTCCGTTAGGCCAAAGGCTGTGTACCGCTGAAGAGGTGCTTTATGCATTAGGGAGTCTGCAAATGACTTGTGTAATCTTTCTCTGAAATTCCAGTGTGTGCTCATAATTCAGTGGTACAAGGTACAAATTCAGGGCTCATTTGACTAAAGTAAGATCATGAAGGAGTAGGAGTGGTAAATGAGATCATTCCATTCCCTTGTAGTTATATATTTTTTTTAATCTATTTTTTTTAACCTCTGGTTTGATTGTTCATGTCTCCAAAATTGATTAAAACAACAAGGCGTTTTACTGTTTCTGTCAGAAATGTTCCCAGGTTTCAGGATGCATGCAGTGTTTGATCCTTTTTTCCTTTTTTTATTTTTGAAGCAACATAATAAAACAATAAAATACAATTAACATTTGGTGTTTGTAGTGCTCTTACTCTGCCACTCCTATTCCCCCATAATGTACACCTTCCTACCTGGGACAAATCAACTACTGTATTGGCATTTTTGACTATAACTATTTTATTTTTTCACAATTTTTCAGCCATCTAACGAGTATAGCTGATAATCTCATTAAATATCAGGTGAGGTTCTCTTAAGGTTTTGAAAACCTGAAGACAAACCTGATTGAGTTTTATGGACCGAGGTACACATGAGGAATTTGACTTCAGTTTTCTTGCCTCAGTGGCATTTAGTATTTAATGTTTGAGAACAGTTTGATTCAATTCAAAAAGAGTATTTGTTAAACCAAATGTTACGGGTTTGGCCTCGTTGATTTTGTGTTTTGGCCTCGTTTTAAAAAGTTTTTTAAAGCTTCTTGTGCTCAGTGGGGCAGGTTAGAGCAAGCATTCTTGTGTTGGGAATAGGATGTAAAAACTGTTTTTCTGACCTTTGATCATATAAAGTTTTTTACAGATGTGTGACGGACAAAAGAAGCAGCCAGTGGAATGTTTTATGAAGTCAAAGTAATGACTAAAGATAGAGGTTGGATATAACTGTGGGCTTTGTTGAAATTGTATTCAACAAGCCTTTTACAGAGGAGAGTGATACTGATACTACCTTTATGATGCTAAGGTGATTAAAATGGTGTATCTGTATTCCAAATGAGTTGGAACTGTTTTCTTTGTAACGCTAAGGAAAACTTTTTTTTTTTTTTCAATTTAAGTACTGGATGGAATTGGATGTTTAATTTAGGTCACTGGTTCAGCTGCACCATTCTTCTAAATGCCTCAGCTATTAGTATATTATTTACACAAAGGTAGTAAAGTCTTAGAGCATATATTTATGATCAGCTATTGCAATGCTCTGATTGGTTGTCTGTGGTCTGACTAAGCAGCTTTCTCTACTGATTAGAGAAAATCACAAACATGTTGAAACAGGAATTTATTCAGAAGTGTTTTCCAGAAAAAAGGAAAAGGGAATTGCAGCGGAGGAGTAGCCAACTTCAGCTCTTGTATTCCTTTAAGATATTTATTTATTCATGCAAAAAACAATCTTCAATAGACTGGAGATTGAACTTTTGAGGAACTGGAGCAGTCTGATCTAAAGGGATAAGCAACTTTATTTTAATAATATGACAATATGGGACACTAATGATTAGTCTGGCAGGCAGAATGAGGACAGATTGTAGGTAGAACTAGAGCAAGACGGCACATGATCGATACATCAGAACATACTCTGAACCAATGCAAGGTATGGATTTAAATAGAACACCCCACCTTCTAGACATATACTTCAGATAGTTTTTTGAAAGGATTACAGATACACTGTCAATCTCAAGTAGTGCTACTACCAGATGTGATAAACTGGGCTACATGTTTAATTGGGATTAATGCGGCTTTGTCCAAGTAAGGCTCCTCTCCCCCCACAAGGTGGGGGAAGGGGACTGCAGGTTTTAATTGGTCTTCAAGCATATATGTTTGAACATTTCATTGGATCAGAGTGTGCCATTTTTAACTCCTGGGCATTTTTATCAACTGTAAATTTGCTCTTACTGTCCAGTCTTTGGTATAAAGCTTGATGCTTCAACTTGTCTTTCACTTTCTTGGTACAAATGAATGTCCCCACAGAGGGACGTTTGTTTCAGTCTGCACAACACTGAAATCTTTACACCATCTTTACACCATATCCTAATCAATCAGTCTTAAATGTGAGGTTATCAAAAAGATCTAATGCACAATGATGCAGTGTATAATGCAAACTCATTTTGGAACAGAGTTAATACAGAGTTAGTCACCATCCTGTGCTGGGCTCCACTCAGCACAGTTCAAGGATGACAGATTGAAGTAAAGAATGCAGCATGCATTCTGCAGCTTCTCTAAGCTGCAGAAAGACTTCTTATTACCAGATATGAGAGCCAGACTTTCCATCTCATGGTTATGTAAAATTTGAGCACTTTTAAGTTAGTATCAAGCAATTAGATCTTTCACTTTAACTTTATTTACAACATCAAAACTTATTTAAAAAAAATCACCAATACAAGCAAAGCTCATTCACACAAGTGGATCTTAAACTGTCAGAGTATCACAAGTTACAAATTGGCAATCTGAGTACAAGTCATGGTATGACTAATGCATTAAAAAAACTTAATCTAAAAAGGAAAAAAAAAAACTCTTACAGTAAAACAGATGTTGCCCAACACTGTCCATTCAAATGTACTGCACACGAAAAGTGCTTCCTGCCTCAAGGTTCTCCATAATTAACTTAGTGCTTTACAGCTGTCAGCTCCATACACAGTACACTGAAAAGTACACATAAAGTTCAGACAGGGCAGGACCGGTGTGTACTGAAGTAAACAACCGGTGTTGCAAAAAATAAGAAATTTTCAAAGTATTTGGTAAAATATTACAGTAACATCAATAGTAGTCCTGCAAAAAAACTAAAAAGGTAATATAAAATAAAGTCAGTACTTCATGGATACTTTCTTTTTATACATTTGTCCAGATGGATTCACCGTGAATATTAAAATGTTCTATCAAACAATAACTAGTTCCTATCCTGTTCAAACGTAGTCCTGCTTGTTGCTGGGGGGCCTGCTGGACATAGGATAGCTGGGCGAACGTTTTTCTTTTGGGCAGGATGCTGCCAGCATAGCACCTCCGATAACAGCCAAAAAAGACCCAGCCCAGGCGATGAAGATGGCAGACCCGAACTCATACCTTCGGAGAGCAGAGTAATAAAAAAAAAAATTTTAATCGGTTTCTACACGTACAGAAGAAGTAAGAGCAACCAAAAATCCAGAGAAACTCACTTTGTGTTGACAGGAGTGAAGGGATCGTAGAAGGCTCGGACAATGTCGTTGGCATACCAAGAGCAGGCCACAATGGCACACAAAGCTGTGGGAGAACAGGCATTATTTGATACGTTTCCACTAGTTTCGAAAGCTCCTGGTTTGAGTTTAGGGATTTGCTTCTTACCTCCAATCAAGATAATAATGCCACCAGTCATAGCAATCTTGGCCTTCTTCGCCTGATCGTCACCTCCGCAGTTGGTGCATTTCATCCCCATGCAAGCTGCCCCCATCCCAGCTACAACCACGATTATGCTCACGACCATGAGGGCGCGTGTTGCTTGGAGGGCACCTAGGTAAGGGTACAAAAGAAGTCCGTTAGGCTATCAGTTGTTGTCAAACCCAACACTTATTAACAGGAGGACACATAATTACAGGTGTGGCGCAAACAAGACAATAAATAAATAGCTTCAATTAACTGATACTGCTATAGTCATACCCAGTTCATGTGTGCATGTAGACACCACCTTTTGGGAAAAGGTGTTATGAACAAACTCATTTGGGACGGAACAGTTGCTATCTCTTGCCACTCTAGAAACTGGCTTCAGCCAGAAACTCAGGAAATGGCGTGGGGGTGGGGTGGTAGACTGTAGGTGTACTAAAACGGGTCTGACCGGTTTTCAGAATTCTTGTTATGGAGGACACTCCCAGTTCTAGCAACTCACTGGCCGCTTTTCCGAGAAACATCATCTGCCGGTTGGGAGCCACCAAATATATTCACAATCTCTCGGAATCAGTCTTATAAGCGCAATTGGCTCTCACACTAAAATATATGATAGTACCCGAGTTTCTTGATGGGTTTGATTATAAAAAAAAAAAACATCTAAAATGCTCCAGGTCAAACCTCTTAAACTTCCTGTTTCTGCCTTTGATATTCAACAAAACTAACTTCAGGCAGTTTTAGACTTCCCCACTGCTGTGCACTTCCTTCAGGTGCATAGCTTTATAGGGCCTGTTGACCAAACAATGGCTCACCCAGGTGTTTAACCTTTAACTACATCTGCCATGTTAAAAGAAAAAAAAAACATTTCCGCAAGGTGGGAAGGCTTTACAGGACAATAATGCCCTCAAGGAGAATCGCAGTCGACGCCATTGTGTAGATTTCCCCTCTTTTCGGGTGGAAAATGCAAAGAATGTTAAATATTTGAATTTCTAGCAACGGTTTGAAGCAGTTTCCCTCCAGATTAGGCGAGGTCCCCGTTGGGTTAAAAAAAAAACAAACATATAATGTCAATTAAATAGAAACTGGGGACTTATTCAAAAGAAGAACCTGTCAAGGTGAATTTTTTTTTTTTTGTTTGTTTTTTCCTTAGGAGGAAGGTGACCTTTCACAAAGCCCATGCAGAGCGAGGAGTGTGGGGCCATATTTTTAGGTTAACTCCGTCAAAACTACATAATGACCCCCGTTTATTAGCTATTATTATTTTTAAACAAGTCATAATTGCTGTTACTTACTGTTGAGCTGCAGCATGGAGTCGTACACCTTGCACTGGATCTGGCCTGTGCTCTGAAAGGCGCAGGACATCCACAGTCCTTCGTACATAGAAATTGCCGTGATGATGTTTGACCCGACGAAGGCTGACATCTTCCACTGTGGCAAAATGGTGCCAACTATCAATCCGATCACACCGATGAGAGCCAGAGCGAAGCCCAGAATCTGAAGGCCCTTGTTTGCCATTTCGACTATTTGTTTTTCCCCTTTCTCCTAAATCGGGATGAACAGCAACAAAAAAGCCAAAAAGGTCCACCTACTGAGAAAGTCCTGTTCTTTTCAAATCCAATAAACAAAACTTGCTTCTTACAAAGTTATGTCTTTTTTAAAAATTAAAATTAAAAAGGTCCCTTGCTTTGTGCAAATGAAAGAGTAGCACACAGAAGCGATATGTCGGCTTGAAAACTCTCTCGGTAAATGCTTGCGCACCTGTTCCTCTTCCGCACCTTGACTAGGGAGTGGACGGCGGGAGCGAGCATTTTTAGGCGGTTTCTGGGGCAGGTGGGCGGGGACGCGCACGCAGTTTCGACTCATCCGCGTAAGGAGGAACGCCTGAAGTTTCGTGATGTAAGCGTTTCCTGATAAGACAGCGGACAGCAACACTGATACTACACCTGGTCGGATATGGTTTTGAAACAGAAAATCACCAGTAAAGACGGGCAAATAGAATTTAAACGTGTTTATTTCGTCTCTCTTTCGATACCTGTCTAAATTAAAATGATTTTTCACTCTTTCTAATGATGCGAAGCAAAATAAGCGTCTTCATGTCCTGTCATGCAGTTCAGTTATGTCAGGTGATTACCCGGAAACACTTTAAAGCTTCATAAAGCTTAAAGTCAACACACTTGAAATTAACTCACGATTCATAGGTGAAACCACCTGTAGCCATGAGATTCAGATCTTTCACCCACAATATTATGCAACAGCAAAGTTTATTTTTAGAGTTGCAAAAGAGTCTCTTAATTCAACCTGAATGACTCATTTATGTGGATTTATGCACGTGTTTAAATAAATAACCAATGCAGTTTCAGGAATGCTGCCATAGACAAAAACATCAATGACAGTCTTTTTAATTCATGTATACAATTTGAGTTTATTTAAATTCCAGGATTGGTAGGTCTCTAGATGTTCTGTAATTCATAGAGGGTCCCAATATATCTTAGCAAGTTGCAAAAAAACTCATGTCTTGTACCTATCAACAAACTTCTGGCAACGTGCGATCTAAATGTGTCGACTAATTTTGACTAAAATCTTAGAGCTGTGTTGGTTTGTCTGTACAGATCTGGTTTTTGAGCGTAGTCCGTACGTTTTCAAAAAGATTGAATGTGTAACTTTAAAAAAAAAAGGCAGATACAGTATGTTGCAGGTATGTTTCTCTGCCTGTGGTTGTGTTGTATTGCATAAAAAACGAGGGGGAAAAATGAAGGTTGGTGACTTCCTCACCATTTTCAGCTAAGCCCAAAATCAAAGGCTATATGTTAAACAATTGAGACAGGACTGGTGCTCTAACCCAGAAGGACATCCAATGTAGTAATGCAGTCTATTTGAATTAACTCTAACATTGCTATTGATATAAATTGTCACATTTCCAGAGGAAACCCATGGAAAGTATGTTTTTAGCTCTGGATTTCAGCTTGGCCTCGTTACATGTTGCTGATCTGCTCACTGATCATTTGTATGATGGAACAGTGTTTTTATTATGAGGAATTGTCATTTCCCTTTTAGAGACTTCTCGGCACTGCATCGTTAAATATAGAAGAAGACAGGACGAAAGAGAACTCCTCTCTGTGAATCACTGTTGAAGCATTTCGAAAGTTTTCTGGTCAGCTGTGGAAAAGTTTAAAGCAAGGTCATGTATTGAGACAATATTCAATGCTTTAAACAGTCTTTCTTCATTAAAGCCATTATATGAGAATCAAAAGAGGTAGACCCGTTCTACCAAAAGAGGTAGGAAACCTACTAAGACATATCCCTCTAAAATGAAAAACCAGGAAAGTAAATAAGCTTTTCAAGGCGAGAGTACATCGTGATGTTCTGTCAGGGGAGGAAGGGGTTGAATGCTGATGCATGCCACACCTTTCAGATATTTCTCGTAAAGAGACAAAATAAAATATGCATTCTTTGTTTCATACAAATATGTGGTGTTAGGGTGTCACATAAAAATCAGATGGAACAGATTGAGGTCTGTGCTTGTAACAAAAGGTGAAAAAGATTGAGAGGGTTTTAATTACCCATAAAAAACGGATGTGATATTTTTTTATGATAACAGCAGTGGGATTTTAGTGATCCTTCAGTCAGTTTGCCAACAAATTAAAACTTAAAGTAAATTTGTAGGAAAACAAAAGGTTAAAATTTGGACAGACTGTTTCTTTGAAGTTAAGTAACTCATGAGAGAAAATATCAAGATCTTAATATCTTCTGGGTTTAGATATGCATCATTTTTAAGTGTACATAATTAGTTAATTGCTTGTAGACTGATGCATTGAACATATGTTTTCAAATGTATTGGCTGTTAAGTAAAAAAGGTGCAATTAAATTCTGATTTAAACCCTAAACTGAATTCTTTTTATGTTTTCAGCTTTTTATTCTTCTTTTTATCATATCTGTCTGTGAAGACCTACTTCACAGAATCAGCATCTGTTCACTTCTCCTGGATATGAACAAATGCTGTTGAACTGAAACTGTGTTCAATCAGTTTTGTAAACTGAAACCTTTTTTATGACCTGATTACATCTTCCAATCATATCTGGCACAGTCCTCATCTGTCATCAAATGACACAATAATAAAACCATCAAAAATTATATGTCATTTTATCCCAACTGAGAAAAAAAAACTTCAATATACATTCCATACTTAGTACTTGCTCAAATGTTATCTCTGTAATCCTCTGTAATAATTGCGATTTTGTTATGAGTGTTTTAACATAATTTCCTTTATTTCAGAAAAAAGCATCCATCTAAAATGGCTAGAATAGCTTGAGGAGATATACACTGTAAAAACATTTCTATCTATCTCTAGCAACTTGTTTGCGAACAGAGATGTTTAAGTCACAATGGAGGCTGATTCAGTTCGTTCACTGGACAAACTGGTTTCGTCGGGCTACCGCTTTTATCCAGTCAGTTCTTAGAAACACATGCCAAGTTTTCCACTCTACTTTTATGAGCACTAGCAATGAAAACATGTATGGACTTGTGAAATTCTTTCTTTTTTTTGTTGTTCCATGTCAAACACTTTTGTGATATAACCTCCACATTCTTTGTAAGGAAAATGGCAGGTTTCAGCTTCCATAATACTGTAATTTTTTTAGGCTGATACTAAAGCCACTCTGAGTCACCACGCAGCACAAACACACGGGGTGTGTGGTAAATGTTTTCTCCTTGCCGCCGGTTTCTTGTGTTGTCACGTGAGTCATCTCAGGTGAAAGAGACGACAAGGAATGGAACAATTTGGACACGCTTGTTCCTCTCTGGGGCGTGTTTCCGGATTAGCTGTCTCCGTTCTCTCCAACCGTTTCGACAATACCAAGTGGAGCTAATTTGAATAAAGTTTTGACCTAGTGTTTAGTTTACTCTGAAAGTGACTCACCCTATGAAATAACAGTTGCTCCTTTGACAGGGACTTTTAAAGTTGCTTGTTTATGTTTGATCTTTTTGGTGACCCTAAATCCAGGCAATTCTTTTTTTTTTGTAAAAGTTCATTATAAGCCATAACCCATTTGAAATTGTTGGCTTTGATATGTTGAGGTGTATAATTAGCAGTTAATTACTTTTTTAAGACTATCACTTTGCTTTGGATTAAACCACACAATCTGACACTTCCGTAATCTTGCCTTTGTGAGTAATCCTTTAATCTCAATGTACATTTTGTACCATCAAAGTACAGAGCATGTTAGGGAACAACGGCTAAATAGGGACAACTCTGAGGTACAATACTGCCATCTAAAGGTGACCATAGGTATTTTAAAGGCCATACAGACCTTGTTACTCTGTTTATGCTTCTTTAGTTTTGTTCTAGGCAGAGGATTTATAAAGTGACAAGTTCAAAACGACTTTTCTTTGATCTGTATTGTCTCCAGCAGTGAGCTGGAAATTTATTATTATTATATTTTATGTTTTTTATTTTTTTTTCAACATCAAAATAATTAAACAGAAAATCAGTAAACGTCTTCCATGGTTATCTCAGTACCCAGACCTAAATACTATGAAACTACTGTGGAGCTATTTAGTACATTAATGATCTGCGATTGATGCAGGAGTAGACAGAAGATTAATGGCTTCTGGTGCAAAACATAATTAACACAAGGATGTGATTTTTTTCGTCTAGTCAAATTTAGCATAAAGGTTTCTATAAAAAAGCATAAACACTCTGAGAGTAATTGGTTCCCCCAGCTTTCCAGGGAACTATATTTGGTTTAACACTGTAATCCCTATTTGCTGCATTAGGAAACATAAAGCTCCATTCAGTCTGCCTGTGGACCGCTTCGCTCTGTGTGGGTTTACTCCGAATAATCTCATACAAATGCACAAGTCATGCTTCCACGAGATTATAGATGGCACAGCGAAGTATATAAGGAGGATCAGACGAGGGAAAAGAGCGGCTGTCTGACCCCAACTGAGGTCACGTCTCAAAAGGGGAAGTTGATGTAAAAGCGGCAACAACCCAAGAGCTCACGATAATCTGTCACATCACATGCGGCTCAATTTCAGCTCGTTCTGCGAAAAGACTTGAAGCATAATTATTCTGCCTGTCAAACATTGATTTGCCATCGTTGTCACTGAGCGATTGTAGCGTCTAATCGACTGGCGTGCTGCAAAACACAGATGTAAATGGAGCCATTCATCCGTCTTATACTTTCTGCTTAAACAATTCTTTGAAAAGAGCCGTGGCTGATCGGTAGATGAGATAGATGTGAGTTCATTAATCCTAAATAATCCCAAAAAGTCCCAAATAAATGATCCAGAAAAAATTCTACCCTCCTTTTCTACAACTTGTAACTACTTATCTGACCACCATGGTTAAATGGTGGGTATATTTTTACAAAATGTAAAGTTAATTAAAACAGAAATAAATAGATTTTTAATGACATGGTTTTTTTAAAAATCTTGCTATTTTGCAATCATTGTTTACTTATTTAATTTTAGTCTTCAATGAGTAAAGTATATTTTATGATATAGTGAGTTGGTAATAATTTGTCTTAATTGAAATGTGCAGTGTATAGTTCAGCCTACAATAGAACATGTCCATTACAACCACAAATGTCCATGTTAGCACCCTTTTATGAAAAGGATATTTAGGTTTAGCTGTTTCATGA